AGGACTAGTCTGACTAACTATAGAAGGATTATAGATTATATAGTTTGCATTAATATGTATAAGGGTATTTTTAGCTGAAGTAGCCTTATTCTTAGGGGGGCTGGGATCATTAGGAGTAGTAGATATAGTAATGATGTAGTGATATTATAGGAAGATTTATATAAGAGTTTAATAATAATATAGAGTAAGAAAAAAAAGAGGAGAATAATAAAGTAAATAAGAAGAAGAGAGGGTAGAGGGGGGGGAGTTAAGGGTCTTTATATATTTAGAGGTCTTTATAAAATATTCACTATCTAGGGTCATAAAGAATCTCATAGAATTTAATAATATTAAGAAGTGAATATTATAGAATTTATTAATATTAAGAAGTGAATATCTTTAAATTAATATTTACTATAAAGACTGTCTTAGTAATTATCTCTAAATCATTCTGTATGAGTAGAATAAAGACTTCATTATAACTACTAGGGCTATTCTAGTAGTGAAATCTTCAACTATCTTAGTAGTAAATATCTTTAAATTAGAAGATATTCACTACTTATTATTATTAAATTCTGTAAGATTCTTTATAATATTATTAAATTCTATGAAATTCTTCCTGATATTAGAAAGTAAATATTTAATAAGAATTACTAAATATATAAAGATCCTCACCCCCCTAAACCTTAAGGCCCTCTCTCTCTCTCTTTTCTATTAATCTCATTATTTTCTTTTTCTTCTACATTAATTATCTCTCCTATATAAACCTTATTACCTTATCCTCACTCTACTATATTAATTTATAAGCCTAATGACCCCCTCCTCTATATAAACAGCATGAGGTTATCTCCTTACTAGATAATAAAGTTACAGAACCTCCTTATATAAATATTAATGCTATCTCTACCACCCTAGTTAATGATAAAGAAGTTAAAGAAGTTAACTATGTAACTAGCTTTTAGATGCAACTTTAGGATATCTATCTTACATTATATAATATTACAGTAGTTGGTAGAGAAGGAGCCTTAGCTAAAAAGTTTCTTCAGATTATAGAGGATGGAGACTATTAAGTTATATAACTTATATTCTTTAGAAATCTAGCTCTCCTTAATCTTTGTACTACTTTAGAATAAAAGGTAGCCTGGATCCTTCCTATACATAAGTCTATAATTAAAAAAGATACTCTAGTTCTTGATCATGTAAGTATTCCTTTATATTTTTATTATGACTTCTAACCTCTTTTTAGCTCTGTACGGGTGAAGTAAGATAGATTTAAGTAATCTTAATTACATCATGTGGTATTATTACTATTAAACAGGATTATATAAATTATAGAGGAAGAGTGTTTATAAGCCCTGGTCATCTACCTAGCTATTAGAATAGTGTATGTGCAGGATATAAATGGGAAGGAGAAAATATAGATGCCTGCATGTATATAGTATTAAATTAGTCTAGATATAGGCTAGAGCTCACCCACCTTACCTAGGAGCTTAAGTAGCTACACTTCACAGAATATTATCTATATATTAAATTTACTTTAATCATTAATTTATAACATCCTAAATTATATGAACCTTATCTGGTAGTGATATATACTACTAATTAGTAAATTTAATTTTGTATAGAATTACATTTTATTGCCGGCAGAAAACCATGAAATACTAACATACTTAAACACCTACAGATGTTATTTTGGTTTTGTTCCAATGGCTTGCCGTAGCAAGCAAGCAAGCCCTGTATTCCACAAAAAATTGTTCCTTTCAGTATCTTGAAATCCCAACACTACCCTAGCTTTATAAGCCCACATCTCAAGTTAAAATCATGTAGCAAGATGAAAGCATTCATTCTTATCTCGATGAAACTCCTAGACCAGTCGTCTACGTATAAGACGTGAATCAGCTATGGTTTAATGTATTATTAGAGTGTAGCGGCCTAAAAGCCCACTTGGGAAAAGAAAAGGAGGGAGTTTTGGAAGGTTGTAACCAAAGCAGTCTTTCCTACAAGTGAGAGTGTGTCGGTCGACATATCCAGAAAATAAGCAAAAAAAAGCTAGGAAGCAAAGGATCTCACAGCTAGTTCCGAACTCGAACTGGCAATAAGCTATGTTTTATGTATACGACAGAGTTTACTATATGGGACTGCTAGTATAAATCTTATATTAAATAGATGCTACTATAAATCGTCAAGTTATACAAAGCCGGGAGCGCGAAATTGTTCTATCTACAGGGCCCCCTGACTCGCACTACTTATCTGTTAGGGTTAGACCTGTATCTACATGAATGTGTCATGACCCCGCAGTACCTGGATGATACAAGCACCTCACACATGCTACAACACCGATATGTTGAAATACAGCCAGTCCCCTCCATATTAAGTTACACCGCATTGAAAGTCAAGGGCGTTCCTATAGAGCATGGTCATGTACCCCAGGTCCAATGGTTTGCTACACCACAATTATTAATTCCCGCACTCCAAGCAAGCTTAGGTTTGTTTGTATCATAGTTTGTGCTGTTTAGGCTGATGACCAAGGACCAATGGTTCGCTAAGCTGCGCAATTATTAATGCCCCCACTCCAAGCAAATTTTTGTTTGCATTATAGTTTGTGCTGTTTGTATTGATGATCAAGAACCCATCAACATCCTGAGGTTCGGCTGCGTAGTCCGCGATTTGCGTTGATAACTCAGGCCTAATAAACACTGATGAAAATCTCAAGAGAATTATCTATCCAGCTTACCAAGCGTTCGGTCTTCTCGGGTGCCGAGGTGAATAATGTATGTCCTGATGTTCCCGCATTGGAGTATACCGGCACATTTAAGCAGACCAACCCTCGATCCTCGTAGTCTCTGTATCCAACTCTCTTTCTCCAAATCAATCAATCATTTATTCACACGCCATGTCTCTCAAAACCCTCACTCTCTGGACCCTCCTGGGCCACGCCGGCACGCCCAACCCCTGGAAGGTCCTCATGATCCTGGAAGAGCTCAAGGTTCCCTACGAGACCAAATTTGTCGATCTCGACGACCTAAAGAAGGAACCCTATGAGTCTATCAATCCTAACGGTCGTGTCCCCGCTCTCGAGGATCCGAACACCGGAATCACTATCTGGGAATCCGGCGCCATCCTTGAGTACTTAGTGGACACATACGACAAGCAACACACCATCAGCTTCACCGCCGGCTCGAAGGAGTTCTACGAAAGCAAGCAGTGGCTACACTACCAGGTGTCTGGCCAGGGACCGTACTTCGGGCAGGCCGCCTGGTTTACGATCTACCACCCCGAGAAGGTGCCCAGTGCGGTCGAGCGCTATGTTAACGAGATCCGTCGTGTTTCGGGCGTGCTCAACCGATCGCTCCAGAACAAGGAGTACCTCGTTGGCAGCAAGTACAGCTATGTCGATGCTGCTTTTGTGCCCTGGTTCGAGGTGGCTGCGCTCTTCTGGTCGAAGGAAATGGATCTCGAAAGGGACTTCCCGCATGTTAATTCCTGGTTGAACCGTATCAAGGCTCGCCCGGCTGTTGCCAAGACTATTGATGATAAGGAAAAGGCCGCGGCTGCGGAAGGGAATTGAGGCAATGTGATGATAGATAAAACTCCTAGATAGAAGGCGAAGCTTTTTTGATCGAATCCAAATACATATATCTTCTATACTTAGATCTACCCATTCCTTAAGCTAGTGTCTTGGCAGTAGGTTGCAGAAAGAATGGAAGAGTGTAGATTAGTGAAGCTGGTTTTGCACTTCTCTGTACACAGGAAGGGGCGCTCATCGGCTACTGTATCCATAGAATTTTATGTCGTGTATCAATATAATATAACCTAGACTAATAACCTAGTCTACTTTTTCCCCTCGGAAATACTTTCATCTCGAAGTTCTATACGCTCTGTTTGCAGCATGAATTTCTAATTTTTGCACCATGTTCCCAGAGGGAGCATCAAATTGGACTTGCAGAAGGGTAGCACAATGTGCTCTATCCAGGATCAGAATAAGCTTGCATAGGCTAAGAAAAGTTCCATTACTATTTAAAGGAGTCTGTCATTTCTTGCCACATTAAGCCAGATCAATAGTTATTCTTATGCAGGACAGCCAGATTCAGAAAGCAGTGTAGACTAGGTGCTGTTTCTAGTGACAGGCGAAAATCTACTAAAGGGGCCCATATACTTTTTATTTCCTCTAGAAGTTATCTTATTATAGCAAACCAAGGTCTGGCATTTAATAATGGTGAAGATTCCTCCTGATGAGCAGCTTATCTACCTAGCTTGCTAGTGATAAAGAAAGCAGACGAATAAAGAGTGGTCATCATCAAGTTCTAACTTGAAGGGTTACTTTCAAGGCCGTAATACATTTTCCCGTAACTAGGCCTCAGACTTACCCTCACTGATACGCAGAAGAGCCATGATGGCCAAGGTGAGAAACTACCTCAACGGCTGCCTGAGAGGGACGTAGGTCCCGGGTAACAGACGTGTTTTTCAGTGTCTATGGTACAGGGAGTGCTTTTACCGCCCCTTGCGGCTCATGCTTTTCCATATTTAGCTCGCATATCCTCTACCAATGCCTTCAGAGTCGAGTGGCTATCAGGAATATTATCCGAGTCGGGTCGCGGAACTCGGAATTCCTGGTAATCATGCCCAATACATTCCCGGAGACTCGGCTCTGTTTTGTGCTTCTCCATGCAGCTGTCACAGATATCGATATCTGGGCAGCTTGTGCAAAAATATCCGTGGTCTTTCGTCTCGTTTCCGCAAAGATCGCAACATCCCAAAAGTTCGAAAGAGTTCTCTTTAGGGTTGAATGTCGCCGTCTGGACAAAGCAACGGATAGCACAAGACATATCTCCTAACTGCGAAGACAAATATCGTGCTCGATACAAGAGATGTCTTTGAGAGGCGTCTGGTTTCTCCAGCTCATTAATAATCGAGATAAGGCTCTCCCTTGTTTTGCTTTCCCGATCATTCTGACTGGTTGGCTGGAAGCCCTTCAGTGCAGGGATCTGCTTGAAGAAGCCATCGGCTTTTTGCAGGGGGAGAAAGTCTATAGGTGTCCTGCCGGAAAGATCCGTACAAGTCATTGATGCAGCGGATTCCAAGAGAATGGCTGCGCTTTCAACTGCGCAAAATCGGATGGCCACGTGTAGCGCAGTGAAGCCGAATTCGTCGCTTGCGCTAATGTCGGCTCCATGTCCGATCAGGAGTCGGATTATATCTGTCTGCTCCTTCCTGACTGCTACATGTAAGGCTGTCTTCCCCAGGGATGTCTGTGCGTTGACGTTCGCGCCCTGCTCAATTAGATATCGACACACGTCGAAGCGATCATGGAACATCGCGATATACAATGGGCTGCGGTCAGGAGCTTCGATATCTGCTCCATGACTCACAAGGAGACGCACAATATCAAGCGCACCTTTGCGACATGCAAATTTCAATGGGCACCAGCCATTTGAATCAGCAGCTTCAATATTTGCACCACGCTCGACCAAGAGACGTACCACGTCGTAGTGTCCTTGATCGGCAGCTGATATAAGTGCTGTCCATGTACCAGAGTTAGCAGCTTCGGGATCAGCTTTGCGGTCTAAAAGCAACTGAACAATATTAGACCTGCCATAATGAGCTGCGAGCCCCAAGGGGCGCCACCCGTAGGAATTAGCAGCTTCGACGTTCGCCCCACGCTCTATCAAAAAGCGCACAACGTCATAATGTCCTGGAGCAACAGCTGATGCAAGTGGTCTCCATCCCTCATCATCAGCAGCTTCAATACTTGCTCCGTGATTCAGAAGTAGAGTGACAATATCAAGCGTACCCCTATAACAGGCCGAGATCAAAGGGGTCCACCCGAAAGAATCAGCTGCCTCAACATTGGCACCATGATCCAATAGTACAGTTGCTATTGCCAAGGAGTCATTCTCCACAGCGGAGTAAAGAGGTGTCTGTCGGTCATCGTCGACAGACTCAGCATCTGCACCATGATCAAGCAGCAAACGGGCCAGGGCTAAGTGACCACGCTTGGCAGCCAAGTTAAGAGGACTGCTGCAAGTATCATTGACTGCCTCTATTTTTGCCCCATGCTCCAGTAGCGCCTTTGCAACTTCCACATGATTGCCGTAAGAAGCGGAAATAAGAGGCGTTTCTTGCCATTTAGTGGCGATCTCTGTGTCAGCATCATTCTCGAGAAGGAATCTCACTATCTCTAGGTTCCCAGAGGCGGCCGCCACGTTCAGAGGAGTGGTACCGGAGTCGTTTTGTCTATCGATGTCCGAGCCATGGGCCACAAGGGCCATTATGCATCCCATACTGCCACTCTCGGAGGCACATAGCAAGGGAATTTTCCCCTGGCCGTCTTCGGTATTGATCGTACTTGCATCCTTCTCCAGAAGGAGGCTTAAAATAGAGAGATTCCCACGCTCTGCGGCAATGTGTAGCGGAGTTTGACCATCCGAATTTGGTAATAACTTTACTTGGTGACTAAGGAGAGCATTGGCAGCCCAGACGAAAGAGTGTTTGGCCGCGAGATGGAGAGCTGTATTGCCGCCTTCATCCGTGACGGTGACATCTGTCCCAGCATCCAGGAGAAGCTGTATAGACTCCTCGAGTCTACTTGTTTCCGAACTGTCGCCCTTGGCTATGACAGCTAGATGTATTGGTGTTCTGTCGTCCAAATCTGTGGCCTCAACATCCGAACCATTGGCGATCAACAGCTTCACCACCAGGGGGTATTTGACAGATTCATGCAGGGGGCTTTGTCGGATTTGATTGCTTGCATTGGCATCAGCCCCTTGAGATAGCAGGTACTCAACAACTTGGTGATGTCCTTGTGAACCAGCCTCGTGAAGGGCCGAAGTCTCCCCCGTTCGACAATTGACATCAACCTTTGCCTGGCACAGCTCTCGCACGACTGCCAGATATCCCTTCGACGCGGCGATGGCAAGCGCCGCGGTCAGTAGCTCGTCGGATCCATTAATCGGTTGGTGGTCCAGGCGTAGTAAATACCGTATCATGAGTACGTGACCATTTTCTGCGGCAAGTCTGATGTAGCTATTGAAGTTCGCTGGCTGCGGCAATTCCTGAACCGCCTTAAAGATCAACAGGTAGCCGCTCTGTGTCGCCAGTTGTGCTGGCGTCAGATCGTCGTTATTGGGTCGGTACCTCTCAGCTCCGTGCATGACCAGGTACTCGGCGGTATCCTTGTATCCATTCCGGACGGCCTTATGCAACGCCGTCTCGCCGTCGCCGAGTACTAAGTTAATCGGACTACCTGCTGCCACAAGGAGCTCGACAATGTCAAGACGCCCGGTCTCAGCAGCCTTTATCAATGCGCATGAGTTGTGCAGCCAGCTGGTGTCATCCTGTCTGGAACTAAGCTCCGCAAGGAAAGTCTTCACGATTATCGGATGACCGGCCTCTACTGCAATCTCTAGCCCTTGGACTGTAGGAGCTATACCCCACTGGAGGAGTCGATGGACAAGACCTTCGTCGCCTCGCTTACAGGCTGCATGCAAAGCGCCCCTAGTCTTCTGCTCAAGTGCACCCGACATTACATGTGGGTCGTCTCTTGATAGCTGAATGATCTCCTCAAGCTCCTTCAGTAGAAATGACATGATCTCCGCATGCCGTCTGTCAGCTGCCTCTTCGAGAGGTATGTTTGATACAAGGTCGAAATCGGGCATTGTCGTTTTCACATATCTCATCAGCATATCCAGTGCTTCCAGACTTCCGCTTCTCGCAGCAGATTGTAAAGCCTGTGTCACATATTCTGTCCCTGGCTGTGTTTTACATTTGCTCGTGTAATGGAGAAGCTGCTCAAGGATTATCAGTCTATTGTGGACCGAAGCGACAGGCAACGACGGCCAAAGCACAGCATTGTGGCAAAGAAGAAGACTGGTAATATTTTGATGGCCATTCGCCGTGGCCAGCTGCAGTGACCTTTGCAGCTCGTGGTCCTGGACCTCCGAGCGGTCTTTCTCGCCGAGAATCTTCTCTACGACACTTGTTAATCCCAGCTCGGAAGCGATCTCGAGTTGGGTGGGAGCGGGCTGGCTAATCGCCCTCTTGCGGAAAAGCTGATACCACTTGTCACGCAGGCTGGGTGATGAGAGAAATGAGTGGATGCGATGGTCAAGCGACGCTTTCTTCTCAGAGACCAGGTCTCGCTGAAGAACCTGATCAGCTAGAAGGGAATGCTCCGGCCAGTAGTTGGCAGCATAGGCAAGGAATGCATTACCCTTTGTGTCCAGCATCGAATCGCTCAAACTAGGAAGTACAAGCGAGAGATATTCCAGACAGAGCTGTGCCAGGTTACTGTGATCAAGAAGGGCAAATCCATCCTTTTCAAATGACAACAAAGCGTCGCGCGCCGTTTCATGGATCAGCAGCACCACGTGGCCCTCTCTTCGCAAGAACAGCCCTAAATGGCGGCTTAAAACCTCCCACATCCCCACTGGGATGTGCCTTTCCACCTCCGCCATTGAAGAACACGATGCAGTGTGACTGATTGCAACCGCCACCGAGAGCTCTGGTACCGTGAGAGGGCAACATGCGCTTAGGATCCAGGATAAAGCCTGGGAGCACCAGCGGCTGATTTCGAAGCCACCATCTATAACAGAAGTGATGCAGTTGCGGTAGATTTGTTCCCGATCTGGGGAAAGCTGATCCAGGATTTGTTCAATTGCGGCTGGTGTAGGGATGACTGTCACACGGGATACTTGCTTCAAGTAAATGTAAGCAGTAAGATAGTCCCCCTGCACTGTTGGAGGTGCTTTAGGATTTTGTCTTGTATGGAAGGATCCCCAAGCCATGGCTGCACCGAAAGCAGCTCGTGTATTATAGTTGCGATGCCACTATCCCAATCACAGTCGGAAAGTACATCAATAACCACAGTATCCGGGGGTAGTTCGGTCAAATCGGCCTGTCTGCTCGTAGTAATGATACTCAGCTGGACGGCGGATGCCGACTGGAGGAATCGCAATAGCGGCCGCAATGGCAGCAACCAGTCAGAGATATCAGCAATATACAAACTTAGCCTACCCAGCCACCTAGCCTGGCATAGAAAGCGCAAAATGATCCACAGTGATCCTTCCGTCCACTTCTGGGCATCAGTGAAGGTGTCCAGGTAAGCGTCCAAGCGAGTGAAGAGGAATGGTCTCTGCCAAAGCACTTGGCAGATAAAGCTTTTCAAAACGTCTAGCTGTAGGCCGTTCAGTGTATTGAAGTCCTCTTTGACAAGTAACACTGTTGTTGTCTGTGGGCTCTTGTTCCGAGTAATAGCCAAGTGACGTAGCAAGGTCTTCTTTCCGCATCCTGCAGGGCCGATGAGCTGGATAAACAGAGATATACGGTCAAGCCGAGTATGATTCAAATGCCCGTGCATCGTAAACTCTTTATTCTCCCAGTGGCCATAGTCTCCCAACCGGCGCCAGGACCAGGAGAGATCAGTGAGGCAGGAGAAGTAATCCCGTACTGGAAACTTGAGTTCTATGCCAACGGGTCAGGGACTGGATGTAATGGGAAATGAAGGGGCAAACATTCGAACTTCCTCACCAGGCTGGGTCATATGAGGCGCAGCCAAGATTTGGCGCAAACGCTCGAGATCCTCGATTCTCTCACTGATAGCTGAGGCTGTCAGTGGCCCCGTCATTACGATGGCCGTTTCCAGCCAGTAGTCCAATATGCGACAATCAAAGTTGCCGACCTAACCAAAGCTTTCTGTCAGTACTTCATCCAAACAAGCGAGTGGAGGGGAGAACAAACCACGAGGCTGGAGCTGGGAGCTAGGATATTGACAATACGATACTTCTTTGCTGTGCAAAGAAATGATGCACAGGTTGACTCTACTTGGCTCACAAACTTGTTTTGCAACGGTTGTGAGTCCGAGTCAAGCACAACTTCTAGGGCAGCTTGCCATGTTGACCCATTACCAATACGGTGAGGAGTCTCAATGAATATCTAAAACGAAGAAGTGTTAGACACTGCGGCCAAGGGAGAGCTTATGACGGAGGACGAACCAAATCTGACACCAAGAATGCCAAATCTTGATATTTCTCATCGGTGCTGGCGAGGTTCATTGCCTGCTTAAGTATAAAGCCTGTGACACCTTGGGTAACAAGGGCGATGCTGTTCCATTCATTCTAGAAAGCACATAACTGTATAAGAAGACGCCATCAATGGGAGCTCTTAGTGCTCACCCACCTCTCTGTTGACAAAAGTATAATTATCATAAAGATAGTCTAGCAGGCCGACAGCAGCATCTTCAATTTCTGTTACCGAGAGTGCTGGTGCTACGAAGCTTAAGACCTGAGCATCTGGAATCAAATCAACAAGTAGTGTTTCAAAGTCTTTATCCAGCCCAACAAAGCAAACTCTGTGTTGTAATACGTTAGTCTCCGTGACTCACTCTGCTTGGTAAAAAACTACTGACATATAAGGCTTTCTCTCTGCACTGATGCCAGAGTGCTGGGCGTTATCATCAACTGACATCCTTGCATCCAGTTTGATGAGATGAACGATTTTGCATTGGTAGAATTCTCTCCCAACAGGACAAATAGCTAAGCCCTGGTTCTTTTTTCAATACGGGCCGTGGAAGTCACCGAGAATATGTTGGCCTAAATCTTCGTATATGAGTCCGAGGTTCCGCCGCAAACAGTTGGCGAGGCTTTTATGAAATACTACAGAGCGTACAAGGCATACCCCTCACTCCGACACAGTAACCAAAGAGAAAAGCAAAAATAACAAGTCTGCTGCGCATGGACTATCATTAGATAATTATACAGTGACGCGGCTGAGGCCTTAGCGTGCATGATTAGTGCTTAGTGAGAGAGATAGCCCCTTTTACTAGACCCCAGCCACATTCTTGATGGTTGGAAGCACAGTGGTGGAGGTAGCTGTCACAAATGATTCCAGCTTTTCACCTTCCAAGTGTGATGCATCCTTGACAGCCATGGTCGGCTGACAATTGGGGTCGAAGACCACGGGATCATTAACAGGGCTGTTTCCGGAAAGATCCCTGATCCTCATGGCTGTAGCATATCTGATATCTGCCTGTGCCTGAACTTCTACCTGAGCAGTAAAGCAAGCGTCTGCAGCCTTGCGCTTTAGTAAGATGGCGGTCGATATGCTGGGGATAATCCCCTCTTTTTGATCGCCATTCTCTTCCAATGTGATACGCACGACGTTCTGCTTCCCCAGTCACGCCCTTCAATGCGGCGAGCGCCCTTCAGAGACGCTCGATAGTTGCCCTTTCTGTCCGTGTTACGTGTCCAGCTTCCACTGAGTCCCAGCTGAACGCCAGGGGGGCCCCGGTTATTGTCGCCGATCCACCTTTGCTGTCGTTCATGTCCACCTCAGATGGGTTGAAGCTGAAGTCGCCCTGTGGCCAAAGGCCCATGACCTCTGGATCCGCGTAAAGGGGGCTTTCCTGATCGGCAAATCTAATCTTGATCTCGGCCGTCCGAAAGCGTCTCTTCGCCGTATGCCCCTGGAAGTAGAATTGCATGACAAGCAGAGTGGCTGGGTCACCTCCTGGCGTGAGCGTGCCATGAACAGCACCCTGTAGGGTAGCCTGGAGTAAGAAGCCTGAGCAAAGATCATCGATGATATTCTGGCGTTGCCGCTCCCCAGGCTCGTTTCTTGTGTGATAGCCAGCCGAGTCCTGAACAACATCTAACGGAATGGTAAACAGCGGAATCTGCTCGGCAGCCATCTTCTGAGGGAAAAGGGCCTAATAATCGCTGCTTTCTGGTGGTGGTTAATCGCACCATAAGTGTTCCCGGATGGAAGTTGTAGGCTGCGACAAGACTATGTATACCAACCGGAAGTAAAAATGTGGAGTTGAGGCAATGGGACGAATTGGGCAAACTGTCAAACACATCTGACTAACACCTTTATCTCTCTGATTATTTACCCCATCTGGTATTTTTGCTTCTTCTGCTGGCAGGTTGCATGTATGGCTGCCCGATAATTGGTGGGTGTCTCGCGCAACCCGCATGGAAGGGATTACTTGCATCACCCAGTGTGTGACATGGCGGCTTAGCTTGCAGTAGTGTGTTTGCTAGGTAGTATTTTCATGGGTCGAATCTCGATGCCTATTATAATTATTACCAGACGGCACGCCGTAGGTGAGCCAAGTGAGGACGTGCGACAAGCCAACAACAACAACAACATTAGAGAAGGAGAAATTAAGCCGACTTATCCTAGTCCCATACTTATCACAGCGCATCACAGGTCGACGCCATTACGACAGCAAACAGACGAAATACTGTGTTACGCCCAATGTCACTCCAGGGACTACAGCGAAGCTACACCTTCGAAGAAAAAGGCCATGGCAACACCCCGAACACGGGTAGCGATGTCCGGAGTACAAGATTACCAGCGCATCAAAAGCCCTCGAGCAAGAGCGAATTCTCCAACCATCATGGCCATGAACCTTCACGTTTCAAGAGAATTGAGGATATCTTCGAGAAGGAAGACCAAGAGACAGGGAAGGGAGAAGATGTGAGCGATGGACACAAGGAACTCTTCCGTCGCTTCGACAATGATCCCGAGGCCATGGCAAGCCCTTACGCCCATCTTGAGCGGGACAACTCAGTGTTGAAGCGCGACGACAAGGAGCAGATGACATTTCTCCACGAAATAGCACGGATGAATTCTCGTGGGATGAAACAGAGTTGGGCAAAAGGAATCTATAAGATTATACCATGGGTGGTGACTCACGAACCGAGCCTTCTGGACCTGGTGGAGGAGTCATGTGCCCTGGAGTATGCGTCGAAAAAGTGCGTTCAAGTCGCATACTGCTTGTTGAATCTGCTTCTAGACCGGCAAACGGAAGAGATGCTGCGGCAGGAGTGCAACGGAGCTGCTTGCCGTGTCGATCCAAGCCATCCATTGATTGCCTTTGTGAAGGAGACGACCACCGGGGGGAGCAGCTCTGACTGTCCTCATAAGCTCAAGGAGAGAATCCTCAGGTACAATGATGTGCTGACTGACAAACTGCAAAAGGCAGCGCAGAATTCCGATAGTATCAAGCCTTGTATTCACCGCATAATCGAGAGCTATTGCGCAAATCCTGATCGCAATGCGGCGGAGCAGCTTGTTCGGTTGAGCGGCCCAGAAATCATTTCATTCCCAGTTGGAAACAAGCGCCAACTGCTCCTCCATTTAGCAGTCAGCAAGTTCGATAAGCCGAAGGAACAGGATCGGGAGGCTCTTGAAGATTTCAAATATATCATCAGAACAATTGTCGATGCCTGTCCAGAAGCATTGTATGGTAAGGATCGTAATGAACGGACGGCCTACCAAGTGCTACTTCAATATTCCGAGGACCCAAAGACATCCACCGATCGTGTAAGTGCGGAGCTCCGACAGGCTCTGACAGTGTCCCTGAAAGAAGCCTGTATTGGTGATACTTTCTCGCATAACATGAAAGTCCAATTTCTCTATCCTCCAGGATTAAACGGCCTTGGTATAACCCCATTCTTGTTAACGTATCTCCAACCTAACCTCTATGCCTGCCAGAACGTAAGATTAACCTCGATCTTGGGCTGCAGCGGCCCATTGGAAAGAACTACGTGAATGCCATTACGGAGGAAAGGTTCGACTCATTTCGTTTTGAAAGCTGCCTTAGCTACGTCTCCTTGCCTCCACGCAAACACCAAGTACCGGGTGGAGGGGCCCGAGCCGAGCCTGACATCCTCGATACCTACCAGCCGATCTTCAATTTTCTCAAGAGGCAGGGAGTCAAAAAGATCTTCAGACTCACTGTAAATGATCTTGTCGGCCCACCTCATAGTGATAAATCCATCGTGGAGTTAACCAGAAAGTATGACATCCAGTACTGGGATTGGAGAAAGCTCGATATCAGCAGCAACACGATCCTGGAAGCGTCACCGGATGTGAGGACTGTTGTTATGCATTCGAGCGGTAACTTTTCGACCCTCCAAGGGTGGGCTTGTAAGCATGGTCTTGCCAAGCTGCAGAAGGTTGATCAATTCGTATTTACTCGAGCGGTTGAGTTGTTCTAACTGGTCATTGCATAGCTCGAGCAAGTCCATGTTGTTATCCACAAGGTTGGTTTGCAGTTGCCAGTCATCAAACTAGGACGCTGAAGACTTGATCAGGGCCCCGAGGATGATGCCTCGCTGCAGAAATACCAAGTCCTCTTCCAGGAACGGTTACAGAGACGATTTGACAAGGATTCCAGGAGAGTGAAGGTAGACGTTGTGCTAGAGGATGCAATATCTATCAATGCAGACGACCCTCGGGATCTCGGCCTGGAAGAGCTAGCTGGTCGGGCAAAGAAAAAGTGAGTTCCAACCTGCTTGTAGTTCTATCTATACATCATTGACACAACTATTCCGGTTAGCCACGCTTGGCTCAATCATATGGACAAATTCACCGAGGCAATGCGCAACTACGAATATGAGGGCCAAAACCCGATCGTCAAAGTGGCTCTCATTGACGATGGGATCGATCCAGAGAAGACCAGGTTCCGAGTCCAGGAGGGCAGGACGTTTGACGAGAATGGCGACACGGGTCTTGATAATTATTATGTTGATCCCGGTCATCATGGTACAATCATGGGACGCCTCATCAGCAAAATGTGCCCCGAGGTCCATCTATATGTAGCACGATTGAAGAAAGGGCCAGGGTCCGAGATCTCAGCCGTGGCGGCGAAGGAGGTAAGTAATCTTCATCAGAGTAAATTTGATCATGCTAGTTCCTAACCTGGTTACAGGCAGTTTATTGGGCGTTGGAAAAGAACGTTGACATAATCTCCATGAGTTGGACTATCCCAGCAAAGAGTTCTAATCCTCAGGACACAGACCGTTTCCAAGAGGCGATAGAGGAAGCTGTCAGGCGGAAGAAACTCCTCTTCTGCGCCTTACGCGAGAGCGAGGAAGCCTTGATTGCACAAGGCTTCTACCCTGTTGGTCTTGAACAAGTGTTCAGGATCGGCTCCGCCACTAGGACCGGCAATCTAGTCAAAACTCATTCGGGGACGAGAAGTCTGTCCAATTTATCCTGCCTGGACTAGAGGTGCTTTTAGACCAGGAGGAGGAGATTCGTTCCCTGAATGGGAGTTCTGTTGCAACGGCCCTTGCCGCGGGGCTTGCAGCCCTAATTCTGTTCTGTGCCGACCTCGTTGACCTGGATACTGCCAGCCAGGGCCAGAATCATGTCTCGGAACGTGGGCAGACTTTACGAAATATTGCCAAGATGAAAAAAGTATACGAAACAATGAGCCGAGAAAGCAACCAAGGGAAGTTCCCTGAGGTGCAGAAATACTTCAAAATAGCCGGCAGGGACCCCACCATTGAAGATATCAAGACCTTGATCAATTCTTTAATGTCAGGAGTAAGTGAACCATTTCCCTGTTGTGATAAGTAGCACTAACCCATAGCAGTTCTCTTGATAACACTATGCCCTAGACAACCGTCAGGAAAGAAGAGGACAGACAATTGAACTTGGAAACTTAATTCAACCACTTCTTGTAGATGAATGACCAGATCTGACTCTTAAGCTTAAGAAATCTTAATATCAAGCATCACATCCATTTCCGCAACATAGTATCTATTTTTTGCCCCAAATGTCCTTCCAAGATCCTCCTATGTCCTTGGGAGCCATGCAAACCTGCGTTTTCTCCACTGCTTTTAGAAGTCATCTAGACTCTGCCTATGCCTCTACTAACTATATAAATAAGATTATAAAGATATAGGTTTAATCATCATAGACATTGCATTCCCTGATAGAATACGTAAGACACATGACCAGGGCATTATTCTGTTCATCCTGACCCTCAAGGCTGTTTCTAGACATATATCTCTCGCACTAGCTTAATAAGTACTGGTCTAGTTAAAACAAATATGAAGAAAGTAGAAAGAAAAAGGCTATTAGGAAAGCTACCTTTATTAATATAAAGGTCTAAGATATGGTTAGTTATTTTTAAGGAGGCATCTTCAGGCTAGTAAGCTAGAATAATAACAAGACAGAATTCACCTAAAGAGGAAGCGATGATCTATTTGGGCGCGAAACTGGCTGTCCTGGTTGGAGAATCCATAGATCATGAAACACCAGCCGCCGTGCTAGAAAGCATTAGTCTAACCAGAGTATGATGTGTTGCGACCCCACATTTTAGATGGCTGCCTCCCATTTGCTACGTAGATTCAAGACACTCATGGCCGGCAAGGCGCTTTGTTGTGGCTGAGCTGCAGCCTTGTCCGGCACTGGGTAGTATTATATGCCCCCAATCCTATCGCCTTGATTTCATTCTTTCTCATTAAGCAGCTTCCTTCAGTGCAACTCAAGTCACCTTCTGCTTGACTGGGGCTCAGGTAATGAGATTTTATTTTTTGAGCAATCTAGGCAGTCAACGCCAAATCTTCGCAATATACCAGACAATCTCAGCAGGCGAGCCCAAATCGTCCCAACGAATACCTCACGTCTAGTCTACGCCCTTAAACCTGTCGCATAATGCTCAAAAGAGGGTATGAGCCTGGGGAACATCTAGGGGTTGCTTCCAGCGGTCTGAAGAGACTAAGAATACATCATGACCATGCTCCAAACTCAGGGGACAGCACCACTGGGAAAGCTTTGAGCAATGATGATTATATTGTAGGCTGGATATGCGCCGTAACTACAGAGTATGTTGCTGCACAAGCTTTCCTCGATGAGGAACACGGCCGACCAAAGTATGTCTGCGTCAATGACAACAACGATTATACGTTAGGTAAGATTGGGGAACACAATGTTGTCATTGCGATCCTTCCTGGGTATGGCATAGCCCCTGCTGCATGCGTCGCAAGAGACATGCTGCACAGCTTTCCCAACATTAGGATTTGTCTGATGGTTGGCATTGGAGGTGGCGCACCAAGTTCAAGGCACGATATTCGTCTCGGCGATATTGTCGTCAGCACTCCGAATGAAGGGACGGGAGGCGTATTTCAGTACGACTTTGGCAAGACGATACAAGACCAGAGCTTCCAACACACTGGCTTCCTGAACCAGCCACCGATATTCCTGCAGACAGCAGTGAACGGGCTGAAGGCCCAGTATATGAGTGAAGGCCACCAACTTAATGAAGCAATCAACAACTTTCTCGAGAAGAAGCCCAGACTCCAGCCAATCTATAAGCGGCCAGATTCGGTTACCGACAGACTTTATGAGAGCCACGTTGTTCACCCTCTACAATACCAAGGAAGCTGTGCGGTAGTCTGTGGCAATGATCCGACAAAATTGATAAAACGAAGGGAGCGAGGTGAACATGAAGACAACCCAGCAATCCACTATGGCACAATTGCTTCAGCAAGCCAGTTAATGAATGATGCGTTTATTCGAGATAAACTCGCAGCAGAAAAGGGTGTTCTCTGCTTCGAAATGGAAGCAGCAGGGCTGATGAACCACTTTCCTTGCCTGATTATCCGCGGAATATGCGACTACTCAGACTCGCATAAGAACGATGACTGGCAAGGCTATGCAGCAATGGCGGCAGCTGCATATACAAAAGATCTTCTTTCTCGAATCCCTCCGAATACGGCCGAGAGACAGAAGAGGATAGCCGAACATCTCTCCGGCGGTAAGTTTCTTCTCGAGCCGGAAGTTTTTGGCATGGGTGGGTAACCAGCTTCTGTGATAGATCTAGTCACGACTGCTAGCGAAATGGCCGGCTCGCAAAAGAATAAAGAATGGCAGGAAAATGCATGCGACTGCTCAGATCCTCACAAGAGCAAGGAATGGCAGAGGTATGCTGCAGCAATCGCGGCCGCATATGCGAAGCTACCCGTGGCCGAAGCAAATGCAAAAGTTACATGCATACCCAATTCTCGTAAGTTAGCTTAATGCGAATCCCAGTTAATAATGGTATCAAGCATCGAATTGCGGCCCACTCCATCAATGAGTTCGCTGACACGCATTCTGATATAGCGAACAGAGAAAGCCGCGACGCATTTAAGATCGAACGGGGGAACTTTGACGTGGAATTGGTTCCCTTCTTTACGGAACGGTCTTTAGAAATCCACCAGATACGGCAGCTTTTCCAGCCGAGTCGTTCAAGGACTACCGTGGTTTTGCATGGTTTAGGTGGCATCGGCAAGACACAGATCGCTCTGAAATATGCCAACGACTACAAAGATGAATACTCTGCCATTTTTTGGGTTAATCACCGAAGTACAGACACTGTGAAGCAGAGTCTATTCGCAGCCGCAGAGCGAGTCCATCGAAAATACCCCTCCTGGGCGGACTTGAAAGAGGCTTTAGAATCCAATGATATCAACAAGGCATGCTTGACCGTCATTGACTGGCTGAGTCAGGATCAAAATAATCAATGGCTCGTCATTTGCGATGGCTATGATCAGTGTCAGATGGACGACTCCAAGCAGGAGAATTGGGATCTTCACAGAATGCTCCGAGCTCACCATGGCCACGTACTCATCACATCCAGATGGCGACAATCGGACCTATGGCACCATGTCCAGATAGAAAAATTTACGGACTTGAGCCATGGAGTAGACTTACTGCTCAAGCGTTCCGACCGGCCATCCTTACGTAACGGTGAGTGAGTCTTCTCCACTCGCATTGAACTGTGACATTAATGTGGCTTTAGATCCAGATATACAAAGACTGGCAGAAACATTAGATGGACTGCCACTCGCTTTAGTGGCAGCGGGTGCCTACCTAGGCATTTCCCTATTCAGCTGTTCAAAATATCTACGTGTGTACAATGAATCATGGCTGCGGCTGCTTAAGGAAACACCAACATCCGACGCGTATGACCGAACTCTCTATTCCACTTGGAACCTGACCTGGGAGCGTATTTGTACAGTCAACGAGCTTGCTGCAAATCTCTTGCGTTTCTGTGCCTATTTTGACAATAAATGTCTCTGGTTTGAGCTGTTCCAGATGGGTAATGAACTCGACAAGCCTCCATGGCTTCAAAGTCTTACAAAAGATGAATTTGACTTTGACGTCGCTGTGCGAATTCTCCGTGAGCATGCGCTTGTCGAGGAGCAGGCAGGCGTGAGACATGGCGAGAGTGGTTCAATCAGGTTCGGTATACACAACTGCGTGCATTCTTGGACAATACATGTCCTCAATGAAAAGTGGGACTACGACATGTCTTCGGTAGCTTTGGGCTGTATTGCCAGCAAAATACCGCAAAGAAGCACTCCTTCGTTCTGGCACATATCGCAGAGGTTACTAGCTCATGCGAACCGCATTGTTGATCTTTTCTCTCAGAAGCGGCTCATTCGGGACTATACGGAAGCCCAGGTGGAGCAGATGCGGGATGTCATAGAAGCCCAGGTGGAGCAAATACAGGATGTTATTTATTTCTTCCTTGAGCGAGACAGACCAGGAACTGTCGAGAAGGTGTGCATAAGCCTCCATGAACAGGTCGACAAAATGTTTGGCTACTACCACCCAGCTACATTTACTCTCAAGTGGCTCATGATCAGCATTTTCACCAGCCTGAGAAATTATGACGAGGCAGAAACCTTGTGCAATCGTACCCTGAGCCGGTTCAACGACGACTCTGATGTCAATGAAGCTGAAGGATGTGCGAAACGATCGTTCACTCTTCTACTGGCACGGATCTGTATGCTCAGGGGACAGATGGGAAAGGGCGAGGAACTCTTATTAGGACCCTCATCATCTTCTCAAGGCGCGGGAATATCGGGTCTCCTATTCGAGAAAAATTTGATCTCTCGATTATGGACACAATATCTCGCGCAGGACATATCAAGAGATATGCAAACATGGATGGAGAACCACCTACTCAAGGAAGAAACAGGCAAGGCGGGAAGTTGCCAACAATCATTCAACCACCTTTGTACTCAGATTTACCTGTGCCTTTCCCGGAATGAAAATGAAAACGCCAAGGCTCTGCTCGTCGAAGCACGGGAGATGTTTGATGATGAGAACACGGCAGATTATGCCAAGGCTTCCATGTTCTCCGACCTTGCTGCTCTTTATATCAGACTGGATGAGTACGGGGACTTGAAGAGCCTCTGCGACGACGCGACGACTGGAGACTGGGAGTCGTTGTGGCAGAGTGATGTTCGATTCTCTTTTAATGTCGTCCTCATGAGGTGCTATGTCCACTTGAATCGCGGCGAACTCGACGAAACTGTGGATCTATGCCAGCGTGCATTGAATAAGCTGCATGACTCTCGAGTGCTAGGTTCAGCACCTAAGCGAAGCGTGCTGATTGTGTTGGCATCAGTGTACATGCAGCAGGGCATGCTTTTAGAAGCTGAGAAACAGTTGGCTGCGGCTATTCAAGGAACACGAGAATCCAAGCAGCAGTGTACGTCAGCCAGCTACGAACATGTGTTGGCCTTAATGAGTGTTTTGGCAGAGTGCTATAAGCACAGAGGCGAGCAAGATAGTGTTCAAAGGTGTCTGAAGTTGGTAGGAAAATGCCAACGTGAGCTGCTAAAGGCGAGGCAAGGCGGACTGAATGTATAAAACAGCCAAAAGTGAAATTTTACAAGCATTACCTCCCACCATACCATATATATGCAGAAGCAGCATCACCTTAATAGTTAGGTCACTTGTTATGTTGCAAAGCAAAGCAGCATGCTATGCTATTATACCTATAAAGAGATGATCACAGGTGAATAGAGCGTCTCTAAAGTGGTCAAATAGCTCAAGGTAAGGAGAGATCCTCAGGTGAGGACATCTTCACCCTGAGCATAAGTCCTTAATGCACATTGCTAGGGGTTTAGTGACATTGCACACTGGCTAACTAAACAATGACTGATAACAAACAACAGAAGACCCTCCTACGCGGGCTAGCCTAGAAAGCTTCTGACCGTGTTAACTTCGAGAATCTGCAAACTGTCTGAGGCATCCACCTTTCGGTACGACAATTGCGTCCGAGCTTCGTCTCAGATGGACAAAGCAAGCAGCAGAAGGTCTCCAACTTCTTCATTCCGTCGATGTCATTCAAAAGAGTACCAGACAGGAGAGTTACTTAGACACATCACCGATGGCAGCACATAATTTAGCTGGACGAAGACGGGGACCTATTCCGTATGATACCATCACCCCTTTATGAAGCAACATGGAGCGGGAAGCCAAAACCTGTTATATCACATGTCGTAAAATCCGAGGAGGAATGATTGGCTGATACCCACTTTTTGCAAGTTCACTGAAGGAGTGATCCTAATGGAACAGCCTATGACTACTGAATGATAGTAATCGACCAAGCGGGTCACCCCTTCGAATTCGACCATGACATATTGAAGCTATCCAGAACAACCAAATAGCCTGTTTTTGTCTGTTAAATCTAGCTGGTATGGTGTGCAGGTTGCATCCAGTAGAATGGCAGTAATCTAAGCAAATAAGTTATGAAGTCACAATGCAAACTGAAGAACGTTTAAACATAGTACTCTCCAGCACTTTCAGCCCAAAATGCCTCCCGACGTTGACGAAACTCCTGCTCAGCGATTCTCTGCTCCTCCGTTCGTCTATGCGGTGGAATCCTACTCCATCCACTGGATTGACCCTGGAGTTCGTTCATCGTTTGCAACAATTTCCTTCGTCTATCGTCGAAAAGCTCTGCGTTGAATTCGCTCTCCCAGCCCGCATCGCGATAGAGCTTCTGTAGCGCCCTCCATTCGTTGATATTACGGCGTATGACATCCTGGCCATCCCATCTCTCCCTGCATTGCTGAACAGCAGCCTGAGGATCAGTTGGAAGGCGGATTCCACCAGGCCAAATATTCTGGAATACAATAGGATTTTCCTTGATTTTGCGTATTGGAACTTCCGCTCCGTCATCAGGGTCAAAGAATGGGACGTATTCAAGGGTCTGAAATTTCTCAAGGACCTTTGAGAAGAAGTGTCCACATGGTTGACGGGGGCAGTCCTGCCATCGCTTTTGGTTCAGGTGGCACCATTCCATTATTGTCTCTACTGCAGAAGTTAGCTCGATCTTGGGCTGATAAATAAAACCTACCATCATGGACATCATACAGCACATTTACTCCATAAAAACCAGGAAATGTTAGCCGGAGGATAGATGGGGGAAAGATCCCCTGCGCATCCTTATCTGTATGATCGACCCATCGCAGGGTCTCCAACATGTCATGAGCTATAGTTGTTTCGGACTGTTTCAGATAATTAACAAGCTTAGCACGAGGAATTAGCTCCAATCCTTCATCGTTATATCCCCAGACTGCCTCGTTTCTAATGGCCGGCAGCAGTTGGGCGAGGTCAATCACTTCAGGTTCAAATCCAAGCCTGTGAAGGCGTCCGACATCGGCGTCCTGAGGTGGATACAGGACATCGGTAGGGGATATATAATGGGCTCTGACAAAAAGAGTAAAAAGGCGCGTGAGTCCATTGATGAGAGACTTGTGTTTGTTGCGAATGGTATCCATAACGATTCTAATAAGTGGTCATTGCAGTGGGAGTCGGAGACAGCGAAGGAAAGCAGACAGGGGAAGATACTGGTGGTAAGCTGGTGTATTAGACTTGCTTATAATGACGTATAATACCATCTGTTAGCTTGCAGTCCTTGGCATACTTTTCTGTAATTTTACGTACGCAAAATCGTAGATCCCTAAAAGAACCAGATCTACTAAGTTACGCACTTACGCTACTCTCGTCATATAGGAATAGTAGTGGGGTCTCGTGCATGATTACCCAATAGTTGGTTAACATCCATGACTTCTGTTTTAATAACCCATGTTATTTAGCTCTCTTACAACTATTGTGCTGCAAGGCAAGTGCTCCGTACTTTCATTCAATACAAGGATACAGAGTAGATGCCGCCAAGACAGGTGAAAGTATGCTTGTTTCCATCTATCATGAATACAGTACTGAACCGTATATTCCGAGTTCTCCCTTTCTTGGTCTGTTGCCATGCCTCTGTCTTGATTTTCGTTGATATATCTGTAAGACATACTCTTTACGGAGTTGTTACGGACTTTGTGCCTCTTATTCTTGCTTCGGGCCTTAATTATCTGCCGCCTTTCTAAGGCCTCAATCTCCTAACTGCTAACCATAGCAATTATGTATAATAATCTTAACTCTAGACATAAAATTTTTCCAAGCATAATAGGGTATTTAGATATCCCAGTATGACCTTTACAAAGATTAATATTTCTGGAGACCTCTTACTTAGAGTAAGATAGTAAATTAGTAGAAATAGCTGCCCCAATGCATTCTTTCTATAGACTTCGTTTATGTTCAACTTTCTTTCCTCTTTTTCCGCTTAAAGACTTCATTTGGCGCGTTTGATCGAACTCGACTATATCTTTACTTAGACTCCCTTCACACAATAAGCGTAGTCCACCCAGAGGTTGCTGCAGGTACTGTCCAAGTATGGATTCCATGCCCTCAGCTGTGCAAATGTGATACTGTACTGGCTATCAATCTTAGAGCAATCATCTCCGGGTACAGCAACGTACCAACAGTAGCAAGACGAAGCGGTACCAGTGAAGGCCGTTGAACAGGGTAGTTGCCGCATAGTTCAGCCGCTGAAGGGAAACCGCGGTGGTTCTCCCGAGTACAGTTAATGCGGATCCGCTGCGAACATGCAGCAGTACCCCAGAGATGCAGGCCGCCCTAGCCACCCTGCCTTCACTTCCCAAAAGAAGGCGTGATTTAGCTATTCTGAAGCGGAAAGTACTGGTTCAGTATTAGATACGGAACATGTACATGTCTCATGCACTGATCGGCTGTGATGGCTGTCGGTGAATAAAAGCCCCAAACAAGACTTGGGCTAGGGATGGGAACGGGCAGACTCCTCTACTGGCTGCTACCTTGTGTGATGGGGATAACATGACTCCACTTCACTACGCACTCGCATCTTCCCCGCAATCTCATCCGAGAAGCGTGGCTGTCGATCCCAGAAACCGCCCGCACTTCGCGTTATTTAATGCCGAGATATGGTCAATCTCTCAAGGGATTACATACCTCTTGCGGCCATAAATAACCTGGAGCTCTTCAAAGCACGAGAAGATGGAGCCTAGATTCTGATCAAAGACAGTTTGCTTGTGAAATCCAATCCACAATAAATGAGGCTAAACCAACATGAGAGCTTTATATGTCGTACAAAGTGGCGCGGTAGCATTATATACGGTTCTTGCAGCCATAACAGTATCTGCCTCTGGCGTCGACTCCGGCTTTGTTAACCCGGATGTCGTCTACCGTCCCAAATTCCGCTATTGGTGTGTTTTTCGCTACCCTCGGACTGTGAGGTACTGACAAGAATCAGGCTACCTGATGCAAGTGTCCCTGCCGACGTCGTCCAAGCGGATATCGCCCGTATTGCTGAAGCTGGGGGCGGTGGCATCGAACTGTTGCCCTTCTACTTGTATGGCCTTCCGACAGCACAGGGCATGAACGCTACACCGCCCTCAGACTGGAATGTATATGGGTTCGGCACACCTGCTTTCAAGGATCTGTTCCAGGCTGCTCTGAATGGCTCAAAGGAAAGTAAGGTCCATATGGACTTTGCGGTAGGCGCAAACCAAGGACAGGGTGTCCCTGCGGTTCCAGGAACACCGGGGCTGGCAGTCCAACTAGTAAGTATTTTTCCATTTCTTCATTCCAAGAATGGGCCACATGGTAACGGCCAAGTCAAGCTGCTGGGAAACACATCTGTGCACGCTGGTCAACGTTATTCTTCCACAGTTCCGCCGCCAGCCGAATTGTCATCCGTGTTGCAATCGGGCTTGACATTTATGCACCCTCTAGAGGATTTCGGCACGCCTAACCTGACTGCTGTCATTGCGTACCAAGTGCTTAATGGTAACACCATGTCGATGCATATTCTCTCATTATCTAACGCTGTGCAGTCTCTTCAAGCGGCGATTCCAAAATTGTAGCTCTGGACCCACTCTCGTTTGTTGATCTGTCTGCCAAAGTGAAGGATGGTCTAATAGACTGGACAGCACCGTTGGGCAATTCAACTTGGCGTGTCTTCAGCTTCTGGGTCAAGCATACCAACCAGCGCAGCTGCACAGGCGGCCGCGATGCGACCACTGTTATTGGTAATGGTTCTTGGATTGTTGACCATTTTGATGCCATGGGAGCGCGATTGATCACCGATTTTTGGGATCAGCACATTTTGAGTGACGAACAAACCTTGGCTTTTCTGCAAGAAGTGGGACAGTATGGTACGGTGAGCTCCTTTGTTCTTCATAAGAACGCCACTGATGACTTTGTAGCGTGGGAGGACAGTATGGAGATGCTCTCATCGTTATACTGGACACCGAGTCTATTGGCCAGGTTTGAGCAGGACCGTGGGTACAGCGCTCTTCCATGTCTTCCAGCTCTTTTCAAGCCGCAGAATAACTGGAATGCGATTGCGCCGTCGTACAATGAGATGTACACACTTGGAAATCAGAAGGACAGTGCGTGTAATGCGGATTATCGTCGGACACTGAATGCCGGATATCAGGAATATATTGCCCATTTCAGTCAGTGGACGAACAGAATTGGGATCCAGTATTCGAATCAGCCAGCGTATAACCTGCCACTTGAAATGGTACGTCTCCTTTACTCACACCGAGATGGCTCTGACCCGTTCAGTTGGGTGATGTCCCCCTCTCCGATGCGCCGGAATGTGAGTCGCTGGGCTTTAGTGATAATGTTGATGCATATCGCCAATTCAGTGGGCCCGCCCATATCAGTAATCGCAACGTCATCTCAAATGAAATGGGGGCAGTGAACAAGCCGGCCTATATGCTCACAATACCAGAGCTTCTATATTCCATCAAACGAGCCTGGTCCGGGGGTATCAACATGGTCATCCTGCACGGGTACACCTATTCTGGCAATTATCCCAATACGACATGGCCTGGATATACGACCTTCGGCTTTTGGTTCACCGAGATGTGGAATCAAATCCAGCCTGCTTGGATTCATATGAAGGACTACCTGGATTATATCTCGCGGAATCAATTTGTTTTGCAGCAGGGCCGTCCACAGATCGATTTGGCGCTGTATCTGTACGAGACCCCGTGGAGTGCCGTGGACCTGCTTCATTCGAGCAATATAACTGCTGCTGGTAAGCTCTCACTGATGAGTTCCAAGATGGAGCTGACATCTATTGACAGGCTATACTCACGATTACGTTGCGCCCGATAACCTCGTTCCACCGCAGGTTACTGTTCGAGCAAAAGTCCTTGCTCCAGATGGACCAAGCTATAAGGCCCTGGTTTTTGCCTCGCCCAAATATAACATATCTACTTTCAATCTCGTTCGGGAAGATGTGGCGGCACGAGTGGTAGAGTTTGCTCAAAAGGGACTGCCCGTGGTATTTGTTGGTGGCCTGCCGCAGGTGACATCAAATACTCAGGCTGGTCAAATTATGGAGGACGGGTGGCGTAAGATACGAAACTTGCCATCCGTCCAGTTTATCTCCTCGCTTGCAGATCTCTCTGGTGCCCTGAGAAAGGCAGGAGTCACGCCAAATGTTTTGCCAAGCTGTACTACTGGTACACTGCGCGTGGTGAAGCGGTCCAGACCCGACGATGAGGTAGATTATGTCTTTCTGTATAACGATCAGACTGTCTCCACCTCATGCCAAATCAGCATCCAAGAACGTGGAGCGAGAACACCGCACCTTCTCAATGCTTGGACTGGGGAGAAAAAGATGATCAGCTCATTTGAGAGAAGGTCCGCAGTGATCACGGTATCTCTACAGTTCGCGCCAAATGAGACGAGCATTCTAAGTCTCGAGAAGGGCAGCAGTAGTGATCCTACAAGCTTGACCATGCTTGCAAGCAGCAGTACATCAAGGCGATACAGCATAGCTAACCTGACACGCTGGGACCTGTCGATCGAAGACTTTCACGCTCCACGCCGCCGTTCTCAAGTCCAAACAGCCATCACATCGCACAACTTCTCCAACATCGCCCTCAGACCATGGAGCGCTATCTCTCCTGCATTGGCTAAGGTGGGAGGCATCGGTCGATACTCAACGAGCTTCACTGTACCGAATGTCCCTCACATACAGGGCAAGCTATCGCTAGGTCCGATCATTCACACTGCTCGCGTTTATATCGGAGGACGGAGACTTCCTCCAATTGACCCAGTCAACCCAGTCATTGACATATCCTCGTACATCAGTCCCAGTCAGACATATAAGATTATAGTGGAAGTGACAACTCCATTATTCAATCGGATCAAGACGGATGCAAACCAAACTATGATCGCTGGGTCGACAGCGCGAGAGCAACAGCCGCTGTATGCTAGTACGCCGTATCAGGAGTACGGTTTGATGGCCCGGTGGTGGTGATTTGGGAGCATTAGCACATGAGGCACGCACAGCTAAACAGTCGAAGAAATCCGAGTGGCAGTCCGATGCTTGACTGAGAGTGCCTCTTACCTTAGACCTGTGGAGTTAATGATGCGCCGCATGTACGAGACTACGAGTACGAGAATACGAAGGCGAACTCGGATGGAAAAGTTCCTGCTCTGATTCTCTGTAATTAGCCATTGGCGGCTTGGATCCAGTACCGGTAATCGAGGACATCCATTCGACCATGCAGGCCACTGCATTCTGTACTCTAGTGAGAAGCCGAACTTCTTGCCTCGTCCGCTCGATTCTTAATGTAAGTCTGCGAACTATCATTACGTGCTGATTGTCTGAAAGTAGACACTGCATCCAAGCAGAGACTCGGTGTATTTACAAGCAGCGAGCACTTCGTCTTACCCAAAAGCCATCTTTCGCGTTCCTTAGCACTATGCCAAATTGCAAATTGGCAAACAGAAATCAGTCTTCAATTCTCCGGGCAGCTCAGTCCTCAGCATGTAGAACCCTCCGGCCTGGAGGAAACTGCAGAGACTCTGAATTCTGCCCTACCTTACCGTAGCAAGGAAGCTGATTACAATAACAAAGACGTCTAATGTAATGGAAGCGTGTGGGCCTTAGGGCTCATTAGGCAACACTCAGAGATCGCGTGGATGTATTGTTGAAGCGAACGCTTGAGCAGGAGCCTCCTCTTTCTCTGCGTCCTAAAACCGCTTCTCCTAAAGGGAAGTGGGATTTCGGCTCATCTGGGTCAGTAAAAGTCTTTGGACGACTTTGGGACTGTGCTAAGGGACCAGTATTGCAACTGCATTCCTGCGTGACTGCTGATCTGCCTCTTGATTGCTACTTTCAGATTGTACATCCTGCTTCCCTGCACACATCAATGCTTTGGTATCTCAACAAAACCAAGTGTCCATAAGGCCGATATTTAGGTACAAGGTATAGTATAGTCATAGAGAGTTAAAGTTATAAACTACAGCCTCCTAGTATACGCATATACCCAAGCAACATAAAACATCTGTGAGTGTACTTAAATGGAATACGAGAGTGCCTCAGTAGGGTGGACGGCTCGTTGGGATTGCGTTGGTCATCATCCGTGTGAGAGTCAGCATCTTACGTTGTTCTTTCAGCCAGGGAAGCCCAAAGTCGAACTCTGTTCCCGCTCCCCCCCTTATCGATGCCCATTGATATTCTCGTCTTACTGCAGCTCTCACCGTAATCATGATTATTTCGCCACGACGGCCACACAAGAAGTCAAGGACCGGTTGTGCCGAGTGCAAGCGTCGCCACATCAAGGCAGGCATGGATAAACTCTTTGATTATTGCCATGCCGGCGAGGCAATCGGTTATAGTATTCTGAAAGGCTTCCTGATAGTGTGATGTGGGCCAGCCAAGCTGCAGAAATTGTATGATACCCGAGCGACGGCGTTCGTACGAGCGTTTAATATCCAAATATTATAGCGTGCTACAGCCATCTCGTCGGTGTGCGACAAGGATCAGTCCTCGTCTACAGCAGGATGAAAAGACCGATTCACACCAGACAGCGACGGCCGATCTGCCACTGGGAATGGTCCTGGTGAATAAAATATTTTTTTTTTAATTGTTCCATCATTTCACGGCCGAGACTCTCGTCTTCTTCAGCCTTGACAAGCTCCCCCTCGCCGGCCCCCATGACTGAAGGAATGGCCGTCCTAGTTGGTGCTGCGTACCTTCTAAACCAAGCTCTAGCTTTTTTCCGCCCTGCGTCTAAGCATCACTCTTCCAAAAAGGCGCCAATGGTACAAGCACCGCGCGTCTCAACTTCAAACCCATGCGTTGTCCCTCTTCAACAAGGGTCCATTAGAAATCAATTGCACCACCAGTATTCCAATGTTTTGTAGTCCTCCATCCTTGCGCTCCATACGCTATGCGAGAGATTATTGTTCCCCCCTAGCGAGTTCGGTGTCTTCCTGGATCAATTCATCCGGTCTTTACTGTTGTACCGCGGCGTCCGTGCGATCACCAGTCAATTCTGACATCTGCTGTTGGAATCACCATTGGAGATTATTCTGGAATCTGAAGGCCGCGCATTAGAGCACAGCGATTGGGGGAATGAGTGTGCGGGGCTTATATTACTCCTAGACGATGCAGCGTTCGATGATCCATCTGTCGGCTCGACTTATCAACAGGCGGTTGAATCGCTCCAGACGGCGATCGATACAAATCTGAGCTCACCGTTCAGCCCGTCCACGATTGGTCCATCATCGTTTCACCGCGGTACATCGACCTTCTGTCTGAACCACAGCCGGAGGCATTCGTCATTCTTGCTCACTTGGCCGGGCTGCTACATTTGCACCGAGCTATCTGGACGTTTGGTGATGTGGTGCATATATCATTCGATCTGTCCATAGCTACCTAGGATCGCCTTGGACTCCGTGGCTGCGTTGGCCCATCGAGTCTCCACGATGATGTTCTAAACATATATAATGCGGCCAATATGCAATGCTCGCTGGGAACGCTTGTATAACATCATTCGGTCCCATGCCGCGACCTAATCTGCATTTACCTAGAGGAATAGAGCGCTGGGCGCTAACCACCTTCTATACCCTCGTCGGTCAACATGCGATGTCTATTGGTTATGCTACTCTGAGAGGGTCTGTAGACTAGTAGATGCCTGTAAGCACTATTGACCAATGCATTTGGCTTGCGGTGGTGTACAATAAGTCTATACCGTTACTGTGCAGGGAGGGTCTTGCTTCTCGAGACCAGTGGAACTTGTGCTTTGCTACTTACTGCACAGATTGGCAGAAATAGTATCCAGCGTTTCGTAGGTTTTTACATGCACCCGAGAGTCTAAAGGCACCCAGGAATTCGGCTCATCTGTCAGTAAAGTCATTTGTGGACGGCTCCTGTGCTCGAGCAACCTGGCGACTTAGCAATTGACGCACACTTCCGTTTGGTTTTGGTTGTAAGTTTTAGCTAACATGAAGAATAGCACTTGAGCGATCAAACGGTCGGGGTCTACGTACAAACTTTGATAAAATATGGAGAAAGTTCAACGGGCCATTTATAATTTTTGTCCCTTCTTCGTGAGTTGTTGCTCTTAGACAACCATCTATATCTGGTGTGAGAATGGTGGCACGCCCTGGATATCACAACCATACGACGGGTTCACCAGGAATATATTAACTTGTGCAGCAACAAATGACCTTCTTCGGCGGTCAATCCAGACTTATCGGTCATATCTCCAGCTCCAAAAGCGTATGTAAAAGTAAGTTACTCAGACTAACGACTAACATTACAGGCTTGGGAAATCAACATTCAATCACATATCAGGAAGCTAACATTTCGCCCAGACTCGATAGCTACCATCGGTCTCCATCACAAGTCACCTACCTCTACCTCGTAGGAAGCGCTGCAAACTAACAGAGAGCTTATTTGAGTTCACCCTCTCCAACACACCGCTTGACTGGATAAGTATCACTCAGACAAGTCGTCACGACGCCCTTCACCCAGTTCAGCGTTGCGTCATTATAGGCATAAGTCTCGTCGGTGAATGAATCCGCCTGGTAGTACTCAAACTGTCCGCTGCCAGGCGAGCCAGTGAAGACATAACCTCTTTTGCGGTGCGTCAAAGGATTGCTCACTATCGCTCCCCATTTGTTCTTGGGAATGGTCATGGTCACGGTGCCAGTGAGGGTGCTAGTTTTTGTGTACTGGTAGTTCGTGGTCACGCCGACTTGGAGGAATTTCTCGACGGTTGCAGTGAAGGAAGTTCCGACCGAGATGCTGTTGGCGATCATTTGGCCTGCTGCCATGGCGACGGTGGCGTCGGCTTGGTTGGCGTGGACGATGGTGGACATGGGAATGTCCCAGCCTAGAAACTCCTGATCAGGAAGCGGGATAATTATTTGGGGGTCTCCCCGCTTCTGCAGGCCGTTGAAGTTGGCGGATTTGAGGGACCGCGGGGAGTTGTCGGTGGGAGCCTCGAGAAAGGTGCCATTGAGGTGAGAGGCGAGGTCCGTTTTCTCGATGGTTTTGGTAGTCCCATCACCGAGGAGCAGGATCGCCTTGTCGGTATCGACATGATCGGTGGGAAGAGCCGCGGCGAGAGCGCAACTGGCATACAAGGCTGTGAAGAGCACGAAAGGGAGATTCATTTTATGCGCTATCAGATCTGACTTTTGTAGACTTGGAGCGAAGATGTAGAGATAGAACATAAAAGACAGGAGGAAGAACCGGCCAATATAGCACGAAGCCGAGGATTGTGATCTGAGATATACGCCTTGCTAACAGATCTGTATTCCAGGTATGTACGCCCAGGTCCCCTACAAACACTGTGTCTCACACGGTGGATCGATTGTTCGGAGTTGTATACGATTATCATGGTCGAGCTAGAGGGATCCCCCGAAGAATGACCGACGCTGAATATTTGAGACATATTAATGTCGAAGGATCAAATCCTTGCCCTTAATACGCAAAGAGGCTCGCCTGGGCGAACAGATTGGCCAACAATAACTCGCCATGAACACAGGGCGGTCCCTTTTGAGTTCCGTCTAAAAAGATCGTCTGTGGACCCTGCGCCTTCATCCCATCACGTCCCATCGGAGAATAAGACACAACGGCCGCGGGCTGCAGATCTTTGCCAACGGGAGGAGAATTGGACTTGTCGGAACTTTATTGACGAGCGAGTTCCGACCTCAGTGCTACCATATGACGTCCAAATGGCCCAAACGTCCGATCTGCGGCACTCGCCAAGAGTAACGAGAGAGACCCGCGGCTTCACGTTGAAACAGAGACTGTGAACTGTTATTTGTCATTCACTATAGTGTAGCTCCGTTGTCGATCACACTCGGGGCCGTCCCGTTGTATGGTGCCGTTTGATTCCGATAGGATGATAGAGATGATAGACGGGAGATTCGTCCCGTCCAACGGCCTAGGGCCACAGGATCTGGACCGAGTTACTACCTGTAGGAGAGTGAAACAGACACCAGGCTGCAGTCCTCTACCCTGCATTGCCTTCATGCCATTAGTCTCCATTATGAGACTTCTAGGCGAAATTGTCTCAGTGCTCGCTGAGGCCGTACGGGGAATCTTCGGGCTCATCAATTCATGCGACTTTACCATCACTAGGTCCAGAGGACTTTGTCAAGGATTATGCGCACTGTTGATGCTCCTGATTCTTTCCACTGGCCTTTAAGTACCTGCCGACCTTGCTGAGGAGTGGAAGCCATAGAAGTCAATACACATTCTCCGTCCTATACACTTCTTCACAAGCTTTTCTTGTCTGATATATTCGTGAACCATGAAGGTCTCTATCTCTCTCATTGTTGCTACTCTAGCCACTAGGTCCGTTGCGACATATCCTTTGTGAATGAGGCCATACTAACAGCTGGAAGTGTTTTCGCGGACTTACACTACACTGGTATCTGTGTTGACAATCCTGCCAAGGGTGTGGTACGTTGCATCCCTGGTCTACTTTGAAGTTCCAGGGTAATTCGACTAACAATGGATAGACTGTTTATAACAAACAAGCAACGGAAAAGGCATGCGCGGCATATAAGAACCGCAACAGGGGAGATGCACAGTGGGATAGATGTCCGGACTGTACACTCAAGAGCGATCACGACATCCTGTTTTATTGCCAGACGGCGGCACAGCACATTGGGGGAGATGAGTTAGAATATTATTGCAAGCAGAATGGGGCGAGCAGTAGTATAGCTTGGTGAAGGGAGCTGTTGAACAATATTGCTGGATTTGCGCTTCTGTATTACAGATATCAGAGAATAGGAGAAGTCAATAGGATCGAAGAGTCACATGATGAAGAGCTGTACAATGCCTCCTGTTAGCTAGTCCTGACTTCCACAAACATCTTTCAGTCTTTAGCGAGCGGCTTCCCACGACATGCAGGCACGATGATCTGATGGGCCGCAAACGCAATCTCAAATGTATCCTGTGCAGTACGCACCTTTCCCTGGCGCTCATAGAGCATCCAAAGGTTAGCATACTCCACAGCGTTGAGGGATCACCAGCGCCCGACACCTTCTGCTCCGCGTCGACCAGAGAGATGTTAAGGCCTGTCCACTTTGACGCACACGAGCACTGAACAGGCATAGGAGCTTACGGAAGACTCACTTACAGCCATCATAATGAGCTATATGTTTACATGTAAGATAATTCTGTGAAGAGTTTACCTAATCCCATGCCCAAATTTCAAAATCTTTAGCTATGTCCTTTCGGATACAGCTGATGGCCTTGTCAATGACACCGCAGACGTGTTCGAAGGCGAACAGGTTTTATAGGATACCAGATTGATGCTGTCGCCTCAAAGTCATATCAGCGACTTTCAAAAGAAAATAAATCCACCAATAGCCCAACTGGATCAATGCCTCCGCAGATAAGTATCAATATCCTTCCAGCGCAGTCATATCAACCGTCAATTTCTTCCTCCTGGGGTACTGACGCAAATCCAAGTACTGTCCAGAGACAATGTTGATATTTCCGGACTACTTGATCTGGCACTGGAAGGATCTACTGATTAGCATCTGGCACGAGTGGGCGCTGAGAGCTTCAAAGCAAACATGAAGGAAGCGCGTGATATATCACTGGACAACTGTCTCAATCAAAGAAATCCATGTCCCAGACTGCTTTGTCAAATAGGGGTGGAAAATTGGTGCCACGCGCAGGTTCTTTAGCGGCATCAGCCTCTGGCTCGAGCATCACGGGCAAATAGTAAGGGGGGGAACCAATACTGATAGATGTATGCTACAACAGCCATAGTCAGTATATAGATAAGCAGCCAAATGTGAAATTTTATGAGCATTACCTTCTACCACACTATATATACCACATGCAGAAGCAGCACCACCTTAATAGTTAGGTTACCGAGACGCTGAGGATTCAAGTCAACCGTCCGAAGTGCCGAGGTTAGTCAAAGTAGACGGTTTCCCGTTGTGTGGTGCTTTGTGTGTTATGGCGTACTTGGCCCGTCCTTTGCCTCACGGGTGACCAGACCCCCTAGTCGCCGTCTCTTCTTCCGGGGATGCGGCAAAGTGTCACTGTCATCATTCATTTCCGTCGGCATGATCAGTGTCACCATGATCATCACTATCGATATCCCTCAGAGATACGGAATGCCTCTTCCTTTTATCCATGCTCGACGTCTGCAAGCTGGTCTTCGTCTGCTTAGCCGTCGCTAAAATTGAGAGGCGTTCTGGTACAACGACAGAGACGGAATACGACCGAGGTGGACTTTTAAAATGATTTTGCGAGCCTGACTCTGATACTGCGTATGTATCATGATGTTCAGAGGCATATGAGGCGCGGGTCATATGCCGCATCATCCGCTAGGTGGATGGTTGTCTGGGTCCCATCTTCATCCCCCCAAGGACGTATCGTGCTGATTATGAAAGCTGAGTTGACGTTCCGCCAGCGCCAGGACCCAGTCTTCTTCTACTGTAGCAGAGTAGCCGATCGCCTGGATGCTGTTCGCGGTCGGCGTAGTTGTGTTTTCACACGCTGAATCAGGGCGCTTGGGATGTTGACGAGATTTAAACTCGGATTCGGCAGTATCTTTTGAGGGATGTTGCTATCCCTGTGGGTGACGGTCTTTGAGGAAGGCGATGATGTTCGAGGAGAGATAGGATTTGCCGGCGCCAGGGTTGTCAGGGATGAACATTGCTAGGAACTTTTGGTTCGCCCTTGAACACGTCCTCACTGTGAATTCAGTCCCCGTACCAGGCACGCGGGACTTGCTAATTTCGACATACCATCCTCGAGCGCAATCGGTTACAGATGGCTGAAGGATATGTCTCACTATGTCATGGTGTGACTTTGCTGATTCCTAATACTTATCATTGTCATTCACGGCAACCAGGAGATTATCCAGCATCTCATGCACCTCAGTGACCTGCACCGTCATCTGGCTAACAGCCATCCCTGTCTCCTGTATAGTGGCATTTCTTAAGATGACAGTGTTTTGCAAACCATTGACCATGCGACCAGTGTCTCCGCAGGGAACTTGCCGTTGCGAAAGACTGGTAACAAGCAGTACCTCTTTGTTGATTGGTTAAAGCTGAGCCACTGACTGTTCCTCTGGTTGAATGAATGCGCAGATACCCGAAACCACCAATGATAGCGACACCTTTGCGAAGCCTGAAGTAGACTGCGCCCCACACATGCGGTGACTATCTGCCACAACCTGATAAATCACTTTATAACCAACATCGCCAAGACCAGGATTCTTTGTTCGTGCCCAGGATGCTTTGTTTGATGGAAGAAGCACATAAATAATGCAAGTCCCCGCCCGTAGAAATAAAAGGCTGAAGGGATATCTTGGATCATAGTGAGCACCTTGGAAAATCTGCATCCCCCTCTTTTTCCTTTAGGCAATTCCATGAACATTTCGAATATCATCCTTCCTTTTGACACCTTGGTTAGCTGACCAAGATGCGCCCAATTTTACCTGCACCTTCCAAAATAGAAAAGGAAAATACAGATTCCATAGTTGCCCAAGCTTCCTACCCTGAAAATAAAGTTGGGAAGCGAGTGTCAGCAGCTTATACTATATGCAAAAAGAAGCAGATAAAGGTTTGTGGCCAAGGTTAAGGTTAAGACAGTGACTGAAACTATTAAAGTGCACTAGGCGCGCACCATGCGAAGCATGTTTAGACAGAAAGACTATATGCACCATTAACACCAGCAATGACCAAAGACGCAAGGTCTACAGGCAGAAAAATCAAGACGTGAGTGAACACTATAAGAGCCAGCTCAAAACCTTCTTGCAAATCCTTCATTCTGGATGCGAATCGAGCGTGCAGGAACTAGTCAAAAGCATCCAGGAATTTATGTTGCTTGAGGACGCCATGGTGGCATTTGGTCTGTATAAGCATACTGAGTGACTGTCAAAAAACGCATTGCAGAGCCCATGTACCTCACAAACACCTGTCTTTCTGCTTGAATTGCTTACATGACATTCTGTGGTTCTAGGGCTCCTACTGCTACCGCTTTCCTTGCTGCTTGTGATTCGTCATTCTGTCTGGCAATTCTGAGGTGTTAGTTTGGATCTAAAGCTATGTCTCAAGAGCCGGGCGGATGTACCACCTGTGTTGACTATACATGAAATGGCATCTTCTGACATTTTCCGCCCCCTTTTGGTTAGCGGCTTTGCTGCGTACCATTAACCACCCTCTTCTTCCTCGTCATTATCCCACAGTCGCTTGGTTAACCCAAGAGATAAATCTTTCCTAATCCGCGGATAACGATCCGTGAGAACTTTGCGAATTGTCGGTGGTCAGCTTCAACTTCTTTGGTTCACATTTTGGTTCGGGTATGCAGCGGTCTGACATCTTGTTTTGTGCGTTAAGTTGCTGCAGACCAGCCCTGCTGAGAGAAAGCCATTTCAGATGGTCTTCCGGTGGGCAGAGTGGTTCCCCGGCAAAGCTCTCATCATGCCAGGTTATGACTAGGTCCTTGTCAGCCCATCAACGCGAAGCCGAAGAACATTTTAGCCCAGCAGCATTCGCAAGAAACAGACGTCACAGGATCCAGTAAGAGTCTTCGTGTCGATGACTGCAGCAATGTTGAGCCTCGAATAAAATAACCAAAATATTACAAAATGTCCCAGTGAATTGTGAAAGGATCTCACATATTACTTCAACATCTATAACAAGGAATAAATGTGAAGGGCTGAAGCGAAACCTGATTTCACTGGCTAGGCTAACATGCTGTGCACAAAAAGCTTGGAGTGGAATTCCGAAACAGCGGTAGAAGTGGGCAAGGCGGTGGCAGAACGGAAGTGCGAGGAAAGTACCACATAGCAGGGCCATAGTAAGAAGCGGGTCTAACCCGTGACAAGAGAAAGCATAACGGGATTGTACTATCTGGCATTGTATAATTCTGGCAGGAGAAGATTGGCCTCTTAACAACCTGTTTAATTGACTATAGTTAGCGTAGAAGAGATCTTAACGATTAACAGGGGTCACCCGTATATTAAATGAAGATACAGCCCCGCCGCAAAGTTATGCTTCATGTTCGACTTTCTATGTGTAAGGCTCAGGCAACTATGAGTAGTTAATATCAAGCGATTTATAAGATAGAATAGAGAAAAACAGGAATGATATATTAGTTTTACTTAACAAAGTTGACATAATAAAGAGATGTCGTTTCATCCGACGGTTTGTCCGTTTCTCGCGCGACACCGTGTCCAAGTTCCTCGACTTCTTGCCGAACGTAACAGCTCCTTAGACCCTAAAATTCTCGGCGCCTCCTCGCATATAGTATCATAGATAAATGGTCCAATTGAACTTTCAAGTGCAAAGCCCCCCAATCCCCCGCTTACACCCACCATCAGGATAGCAAGGAGAGCCCCAGCCCCTGGCAACACACGGACCGCGCTTCAAGAGGCCGTCAAGAACCAGACATTCAGACCGGCCATTGCGCGTAATCTCGATAAAGCGCTTTCCATCTGGAGAGGACATGATGCTCAGATCATATCCCAGTCGTTCATCGTTCATCCGAAGAAATCCCAGAATAGACAAAACAAACTGAAGAGCGTCTTTGTTAGTGTCAAATGGTGACGAGGCGATGGCTCCTATGCGATCGAACTCCCACAATCGCATTATGGGTCCGCACAGTGTAACCCCAGCCAGTTGACGTTAACATGCCCACGGAGATGTTGGTATCACAATCACAGTCATCTTCATGCATGTGACGCAGAGCAAGAAGTAACAGCCCTAACCTCATAACTATAAACAGCTAGCGAGGTCTTATCCCTATTAGTGGTCTCCTCCATCTTAACATTCACCTTCGCGAGCGTGAAAATAATGGAATTCCCACTTATCCCCAAGATCTTGCTGGGTACAAGGGCCCACATCCCACTTATCTGCGTCAAACTGCATAGCATCGTGATGTCCTCCTATGCGTTGCAGGAGGCGTTCTCATTCTTAATTAAGCATCTAGGACAGTCAGGGTCGCGATCATGTATAGGTTCATGGTCAGGTCCATCCACCTGACTTCGTGCACAGGCACAGTCTTGCTTATCACAAACCTTGGGTCGTAGGTGTAGTAGTTAGTGCAGCAAATTAGTTCTACACATGGGGACTTATTGTTAAACTTGGTCACGCCTAAAGCATTTCTCGCAGACCTGATAATAATGCAGATGAGGCACATGACATAAACTTAACTCAACCTTGGAATATTAACACAGAGGTGATCAAATGGCCATCTTAGTAGAGGAAGATGCAGATGTGTGACCCTAGTGTCCAGCCTCACATATATATGTCCAGGTCTCTAATCATATTCTAAGCCACCTGGCGTCCGAGCACGTGGCCGCCATGCAGCAGTTAAAGTTAAGTAGGTAGAAGAGGTTAATTAAGTGCCTCTCCATGACCGCCTTAATATTAATGCTCAGAGATGCAATATAAGCAGGATGTCATTAATCTCCTTGACCATAGATGTTAGCATCCCTCAAGCGGTATTGCGGTGTAATCACAGGGTTGATAGGGTTGCCACTATTCTTGTCTAAGAGGAAGCATGACACCATGCCAGTGCCCCAGATGCAGACCAGGGCTTTGCTCAACTCCTGCCTCAAGGTGTCTATAGCAGGCACCACCCCTAGATTTCATCATTACTCTTAAATCAAGAAAGGGCTACTATGAGCACTTTCATTACTTCTAGTTAGGTCTGCTAACTGAAAGTAATGAATAGTTTACAGCTGTTAGCATGTACTGACTTATTTACATCCTACCTTAGGAGAAGCAGCATCTATTGTAGGAAGGCACACATAGAGGCTCAGGTCAGCCTAAGCCCCAGAAGCCAGGACTATGAGAGGCGGACCAATCCATGGTTTATATTATTATGAATAGGACGCGGGAGATTAACTTGGTTATATACCAGGATATAGATTAGCACACAATACTAAGTTCCACAGATAGCTCCAAAAATGCCCACAACCCTATCTAGCACCAGAGGCTAATCTCCTTGCACTTCAGGAGCCTCAGGCGGCAGAAGTTGAGGTTCATAGACTAGATCTACTTGCAGCTCTCCATAATCAGTAACAGGTAGTTGAGCATGTTCAGATTACCTTTTAGAAGCTATAAAGTTAGCTATAGCATTACATCTGTGAGAGCATAGTATGCTCAGAACCAGTTTTGATATGACTATATTGATGCAAAAGTTCACCAGGCAGACTAGACATCTATATTTAACTAACCCATTAGACTCCTTGTGATCATCACACTCATGGACAAACCGCCAAATTATCATATGCTAACTCATGCAACAGAGCTCGTGGACCTGATCTATGGGATGATTAATAGGAGCAGATAGGGGAAGGACTAGCCAGGCAAGTGCTTGATGACCAGCATGAGCATGTGGCAAGCTAGATTCACTCAACATCTGCACCAAGAACAACGCGTGACTTTAACCATAATATATAGGGTTGTGCCTGACACTGACGCCTTAAGGAAGGAGGTGAATATGGCCTAGGGCCTAGATATAATATTTATTGAATTATATGACTGCTTGCCCGATTGGGAAGTGATTTGATTTCTCCGTGCCGCTTCTTGGCGATAATATTTCGGCAAATATTCGTCATTTGATCAGCCAAATCCCGGCCTCTAATGGAAGGGATAAATAGGAGCTGGATAGTCATTTATTTAGAAGAATCAGACCTTCATTCATTTTCGATTGGCCATAGAAATTGCTAGCGATTCGTAAATTGATATAGTATTACTATTTTCAACAGTTATGAGCCCAGCTTACCCTTAAGGGACGCATGGATTAACTTCTACTATCATTCTTCCAAGGCCTGCATATTAGAGAGCTCTATCTTATAGCATTAGTGAGATATCTCATTGGAATTACCTAATTTAGAAGAATTGAAGATATATTAACACCGCCGTCACCCTGAAGCCAATATGGACTACTATACTGAACTAATCAGATCCACTACAAAGGTCTCCATCATGCTAGATAAGCCTAATAATTAGTGGACATGGGACTTATATATAATTAGCCTAGCCTAAACCTGTGGAGTGCTTGATATACTCCAGGGAGAGAGGCCTTACCCCATTCCACTAATTCAACTAACTCATCTGATGGTTCTTGTCACGGGCTAGAATATCTCAGTCCAAGGCTTTACTCTAGCCGTCCCAATAGGCCACGAAGGAATGGAGTGGAATTGCTAGAGAAGGAAGGAAACTAGGTACAGGCGGCTATCGTACTAATCAATGTAATAACCAGTCCTAATCACGTGATTGATCAGGTGGTGGTGTCCAGGCTGGACGCCAGTTGCTAGTCAGGTGATCACACAGCCGCGTACACAAGGCGGCGCGTGTCATGGGGGCAGCCCATGACAGTTCTAGCTAATTAACAGGCAAAGTTGGCCTTAGCGGAACCCTAAGTAATAGAAGCAAGCTAATTAGATGGCTTATTAACTACTACAGCCGCCCTGAAGGCTCTAGTAAAGCTAACTGATATCAAACTAGCATTATATACTAAAGAATTGGCGATCTATAAGGAAGATAAAGAGTAATATTAACTAGATTGTTAAGGCCTTGTAGCTATCTAGACCATCATAGAGTAAACAGTAGCCAGGGAACATCTCTAGTGGCTAACCAGCTAATCAGATAATAAGGTTGAGAAATATTAAAAGCTTAAGGCTGACCTAAAGCCTTCAATTAAAATGCGAATGAATAATATCTAAGAGAGATATTAAAAGCTTGCCGCTAAGCCAGCTAATCAGAATGTGTCAAGCTAGCTAAGTAAGTGGGAGAAGATGCTAAGTATGTGTACTGAACTAAATATAACATAATATACTAGATATATAGGCACTAGGACCTTCCTCATAGTGTTGAAGAAGATTAAATCCTAATATGCTAGCATTCAATTAGATTATCTACTAGAGGACAGCAAGCTGAGTGTCTTTAATGAGATCTCTTATTATCAAAAACACTGGGAAAGCCTTAGTCAGAGAGAATAGAAGAACATCTTTACTATATTTAAGGGACAATCCTCTGACCAATTAAATTCTAATTTGGCTAATCAGAATTACAGATTCAAACAGCCTAAGCAAGATAACTGCCCCTGTAGAGAAAGGCACTTATTTAATAAGTGCCCATATATAATTGAATTAATATAGCTAAAGGGATGGAAGCTAAATCTAGATATCATGGAATAATTTGAGAAGATTAAGCAAAACCCAAGGGTAAAGCACGTAATAGATGCAGTAATTAAGTGAGCTAATTAGAATCAGAATTAGAATGTATCTTACACAGCAATAAGCATTATAAGAAGTGATTCAGCAGTGTTCTCTATGGGAAGGGACACATATAAGCTGTGAGATAGCTGGATTATTAATTTAGGAGCAGATATTAATATCTGCAATAATTAAACTTGATTCCTTACCTATGAACTGGTGGAGGGAGAGTATGCATGTTTTAGAACTATTAAAGTGAAAATCCATGGATATAGAAAGGTTGAACTATGAGTAATTAGAATGAATTAGAAGCTACACATCTTAGAAGTTAGCTAAGTAGCTTACATACCTGATTACCATACAAATCTGCTCTTAACCTTTTAGATGAAAAGGCATGGATATTATCTCAATTAATGCACTAATATAATAGAAGATTAGAATAGGAAGCTGATCTACTGCACAGAATCAAAACACAATATGGAGGTCATGGAATATAATCTGATATTAAATATCTTTGCAATAAACTAATACTCAGAGAGGCCCCATGAATCAGCTGAAACTAGTAAATGATGGCATCAACAGCTAGCACACCTGGGAGATGAAGCAGTACAGCACTTAGAGGAGGCCTTAATAGGTGCTAAAGTGTTGAGCTACAAGAGATCAATCTGCAACACATGCAGGCTAGCAAAGGCTGCTAAGCAGATATCTTAGACCCCTAGAGAGAGATCAACCAAGCCATTTAAAAGCATTCATTTTGATTTGATTCCAATGACTATTGCCCATAATGGTGATCGTTAGGCTATACATTTCATCTGCAAATTAACTGGATGGCATGTAATCTACACGCATCCAGATAAAGATCAGCTTAATGGCCTAATATAGCAGTTTATCGAATGGGTCAAGATGCAATTTGATGTCAAGCCAAAGAGGATGTTCTCAGACCGCGAACCAATACTTAGGAATAAATATATACGCACTATGAAAGATGAAGGTATTAAGATCATTCATTTAACATGATATATTGACGAGCAGAAGGGCCTAGTCGAATGCGCTGGAAGATTAATAATTAAAATGGCCTGAAGCATGCAGATAGCCGCAAGATTGCCTGAGAAGCTATGGCCATATATTCTTTGTGCTGCTGTCTACCTGCACAATCAACAGCTGCGCGGAGAGGCAGTAGAGGAGGAGAATGGGCAGAAGAAATAAATATAGATCACGCTATATAAGAAGCTTTATGGCAAGAAGCTATTGTTAGCAAATCTCCGCGTATATAGATGCAGAGCTTATGTTAGGCACATAAGATTCTGAGAATGAAGAAGCTGGATCCGCGCACCTGGGTAGGCTATCTAGTTAGCTATATAGTATCTAATATATGGAAGATATGGAATCCAGTAACTAGAATAATCACTGATGAAAGAGACA